TACACGTGGATTTGATTTCCTGCTTTCTCAGTTGTTCTGTGCCATCAGCAGCAAGTCATTTCCTGCCTCCCCTCGCCTTTCTGCAAGGAAGGGGAGTAAATGCTGCTATTTTGAGAGCAAAATAAAGGGATGTTTGACTTGCCTGAATGTAAAGCTCCATATGGCAGGGGGAGTGCAAGTGGAGGATCTTGAAGGTCCTTTCCAACCCAAACCATCCTGTGATTCCATATGTGCTCAGGTGCTGAATTCCTGCCCACTTTGCTCGTGTTGGATCTCGTTCTTCTCGAGACTTTTTCCTCTTTTGATACAAGGGAAAGTATTTGCAGAGGGTTAAATGCAGGGCAGAGTGGCCTCTGGATCTACCTGGGATTATGGGATTAGGAAACCTGTGATTTCTCTGATGGTCTGGGAACTCATCTTGGTGTCTCAACTTTGCAACAGTTGGTGAGAATGAAATGTTTGATATATCTGTTGTCTGGGTTTTGTTATTTGTTCAAACTCTGGCCCAGCAACCACAGAATTCCAGAATGGTTTGGGTTGGAAGAGACCCTAAAATTCATCTAGTTTCACCCCCTGCTATGGTCAGGGACATCTTCCACTGGACCAGTATCTAGTTGGACAGTCTTAGATGGGCTCCAAGCTCCATCCAACCTGGCCTTGAACATTTCCAGGGATGAAGCAGCCACAGCTTCTCTGAGCAACCTGTGCCAGGCTCTCACCTTTCCAATGCCCTCACCTTTCTTGCTGTTGACAGTGTGTATGACTAAACCTGATTTGACATATTCACTTAACTGAAGAAACTTGACTTTCTATAAGAACAGAAAACATCATAACAAGAGTTGGGCAAACAGATTTTGTGCTGGGACTGGCAGATTTTCCTGCCATGTGCTGTGCCTGTCCACACACTTCCAGCCCACTCCTGCCCTCCTTCACTTCTCAGCTCCATCCTGACACCTCTCCACGTGTGCCTCACCCCTGGCTTGGGGGATTCCAGCCCCAGCAGTGAGATTCACACACACAGTGCACCCAAAACACCCTTGAAACACAGATGATGTTAAACCTCTGATCTAAACAAGGGGCTGTGTTGACCCATTTGCTCATTCACCTTTTGGCAGTGCAAGCACTGGTGTGTTCAGATTGCATAATGAGATGGAAAAGCTCATTAACTAATGCAGGGTGAAGACCTTTAGAGCTGAAAATGAAGTACATTACTTTGCTGTAATTTGTTTAACTTCCCTTTTCCCCATCATAACAAATTATGCAACGTGCAGAGCTTCAATCTGATGAGTTTATACATATAAAGTATTGCACAGTTTTGATATTCATATCTAACCTTTGGGCTCTTCTACAGCCTAAGTCAACAAACGTGACTACAGCTGTGATCTGGCTGATCCAGCACAACACATCACTGCTCAGACTGTAATGAATGTTATGATGACCTTGCTTAAATATTTCCTGAAGAAATTCGTTCTGCTTTCCTATCTCCCAGCAGCAAATCCATCTGCAGCCAGACACAGTTTCTGAATGGATATACTGCATTAGCAAAATTATTGTAAGACATGATTAATAGTCTCGTGACAAAGTTCCATGTGGAGGGGGAAGAGATGTGCTGCTTTCAGAATGAG